ACTCTCCCTTTAAGGCCCGTTTCCACCAAGAATGAGAACTGTAATGTTAACTGTACTGCAGTTTTGTTTTCTGCTGCTTTAAATTCTCAAGCACTTCTAATTCTAACCAGGAATGCTCTTATTATTATTATGACTATTATTATTATTTTAATATTATTTTATTATTCACAAAATATTAAAAGGCCCTGAGCACCTATATACCATTGTTATTGTATAGTAGTTGTGAAGTGGGTTTTGCCTTTTATTTTAATTAGAATTATTTGAATATTGCAATTTTAATTGTTATTGTCACTTTGGTGAGTGGGTTGAGATTATCTCAATGAATTGCAAGTCATGTCTAGATTAGAAATAAACCTAGATTTTATAATGTGCTATTTGATACAAAAAGCGTTGTTTATTATTAAATAAGCAGCCTTTATTAGAAATATAAATCAGATGTGACTTTTTATTTAGTTCAATCAGTCTTTGATTGTTAATCCTTTAAAAAATCAATCAAGCAATCAATCGATCAATCAATCAGATTGTTAATCCTTTAAAAAATCAATCAATACATCAATCAGTCAACTTGACCTCGAAATGTTCATTGATTAGTTTAATAATAAGCATTGTTTGCTTTCCTGAATACTAAAGTGGGAATGTAAATGAATGAAAGGTCTGACATATTGGTTACCCACTGCAATCTGACTTGGCGCCCTTATCTAAATTAGAAACCTGTAGTCCCTGCCAGAACCTTTAAGAAAAAAGAAAGTTTTGAGGAGGAAGAAGAAGAAGAGGAGGAGGAGGAGGAGGAAGAAGAAGAAGAGGAGGAGGAAGAAGAAGCCAAAGAAAAACCCAAGAAAGCTGTTAAGAAATCACAGCCTTATAGTTTGAGGCGGCCGGAGGTATCTGATCTGTACAGTATCTAATAGGAGTAGTGTGACGTAGTGATGTGTTTACTAGAATGCAGCAGTTAGTCCTAGTATCTCTAATTGCTCATGTTATGACACTGATAACCAGCAGTTAAGAAAAAAAAGTCTGTAATCACAACAACAGATGTGTGTATTTATTTGAATATGCCAATGAAAATCTCTGTCTGGGCCATTTGGTCTAAGCATGTGCATTGCATTGTGAGCTCGATTTGGTTACAGCAGCAGTACAGGCACACAGAAATGAGATAAGAGCTTTCTTTATCAAAAACAGAATTTGTCTGAACAACCTCATTTGCATTTGAAAGGGAATGTGAGAATGTGAGAGAAATAGACGTACTCCCAGAAGATGAGCATATTTTAGTGGATCGGTCTCTGTTGTGCCACCATGCTCTCTGCAAGCGCTCAGCTAATGCATTTTTCATAAATGTCTGTGTTTTCTGGCATTATATGAAACCTAGAATTTAATTTGACCCATCGTGACCATTGTTTGATCTGGAAAGTCAAACAAACAGCAGTGATCCATCAGCATTGAAGAAATGAGTCACCATGAAATGAAAATCCTGTCATTTGCATAGCCAGATTTTTTTTGCAGCTTTCATTGGCTAAGAACCACCCAGAGGATGTCTAACTGACATGTCTAGTAGCCAATTGCAGTTCATTTTGCCCAGCGTCATGTTTAGGAGGATTAAAATATACCATCAGTTGTCCTACAATAACAAAACTGGCATGTAAAAAGAATTACTGCCTTAATTGTTTTTAGTTTTCTAGTCATCTCAACTTACATTAATCAAACTAAAATGACTAAAAATATTAAGTTAAGCTTCATAATATAACTTGATTGGTTGTCTTGAGTTTTGCTCATTACAATTTTTACAGTGTGGACATGTTTGAAACAATCTATACTGTAAATTATGGTGTCACTGGTGTCACTTATAGCTAGTGTGTGGTGAGCGCAGTAGTGCCATTGTCCTGTGGCTGCCGTCGGATCATCCAAGCGGATGCTGCACCCTGATGTTGGTGCGGAAAGACCCCCCTCTTGATTTTAAAGTGCTTTGGGTGTGCTACGAACAGGGGCGTAGCAGACATTTTTACGTTCATATAATTATTAATCACCTGTTTCTAAATGGTCAAACCATTCTAAATGAAAACACATGGTTGCTACGCCCCTGGTTAAGGCTGTGATATTGTGTTTATACAACAATTGAACGGCATAATCGTGTGTATAAAAATTAAAACCAAACACGAAAGTCTCAAAATCCTTTTGTTAGAGAAATTACTTTCTTCCGCTATTTATTCACAACAGCAGAAACCGTTGTTATTTCCCAAACTTCACTTTAGAGCTAGTATTTGAATGACTCTCTAGCATAAAATCTAAAGTGATGATAAAAAAGATAATTTTGCTGACATTTTAAGATTATAAGGCTGAACGACATGAAAAGCCATCAGTCTACAGAGATTTCCCAGTATTTCTCTGCTACAATCGGGAGATCACAATAATTATCCCACAAAAATCCAAGGCAACGTAATCACTACCAGATTACTGTTGTGTTTGTGATAAGGAAAAACGCTAAACACATGTGGGCATTTCTTCTTTCTTTCTGTTTACTGAACTAGTTTCTATTAATGAAAACAGAAACAGACTCAGGGTTATACAAGGAGTGGCCAAGACAAAATACACACATTCTTAATATGTGAGTCCCATCTCACACTCAATACACTAGTTACTACAGTACAAATACAGCACTACAACATACAAAAGAGAGAGATCGACTTAGAATGTCACTGACCAGTTTTATAAGGATTTGATCAGCTGCAGTTAGAAATTACACCGTTTTTCCTCATCCAAGGGCTTATTATGGGGTCTCTGTCGCCATCTTGTGGATGGACTTTGCTCTGATCAATGGCAGACTAATGGCCGCTGAAGTTCTTTCTCTCGGAAATTATAAATATTAAAAATAGGCACTATTCTTATAAATAAACTGCATAGTTGCAATCTAAACAACTACATTCTTGACTTAAAAAAGCGTCAACAGTACATTTATGTTGTCCAACAGCTGCAATATTTGTCAAACTGTAAACTGTTCTCTGCTTGTTGCTGTATGTGGGCGGAGTTTTACACAAGAGTGAAGAGGCTGGACAAGTGCTGTTATTAGCAGAATATTGCACGGCTGTCAGCCAATCAGATTCAGGAACCAGAACTGTAGTATAAATACACATATTACATTACAATAAAATTTAACGTGCTTTCAGAAACAACTTTTTTTTGTCTATATATGTTTTTTGATTCTCGAAGTGCCAGTAGCCTTTGGTTGAAAATTTCTTTGATTTTCTTATAATAAAAGGTCACCTCACTTCCTGAAGATACCTAAACATGTACATTTTTAGGTATGTCAATTATTAGGTAACTAAACATAACTATTTTCCTTTACAACTTCACAGGTTTTCCAGTGGCTGCTGGTCTCTGAATGAGCTGGTTTGAATGAGCTTACTCTGCTGTTGTGTTTGCTCGCTTCATTAAATCTTTCAGAGTGCTGCAGACAGACAGGCCATTACAGCCGGCTGGCCCGCGGTCAGTCTGCTGACCTCTAATCAAGTGCATCCATTTTGAATGCTCAGTCTTATCATTGTCTCTTTGAGAGTCAATTACTATCCTCTTGCCCAATTAATTTAAATGACACTGTGACAGTCTGTGGATTAGGGAAATTCATATTTTCTCTTTGTGCTTTGCATACCACATGTACCCGTCTCTTAGGAAATTTGAACCAAATCCTGACCTGATTCTGAATATAGTGTTTGTCAGACACGTTTGTATTCATTTTAAAGTGCCCCTATTATGATATTCAAAAGACTCCAGCATTTGTTCTTGAGGTCTTCCGCAATAGGTTTACATTCATTCAAGACCAAACAAAAATGTGTCTTCATAATATTTATTGCATCATCAAATCTTTTTTTACTGTGTCTGAAATGGTTCGATTAAAGATCGCATTCAAGTCCTCATCTTTAGGAAGTGCTTGTGAACTGTATTGGCTTTTGCAGCACAAAAAGCACAGTGTCTCAACATATCAGTCACACAAACCAAACTTTCATGCCTCATCTACTAGTATAGTGTTAGTCATTCAAAGTACCGAATGAAAACCATTGACTGGCATTTTGCAAAGATGCTACAAACTTTGTGCTCAAAGACTGGAATTATTGACTACTGGTTTTAAAAGTAAAGAAACCCTTCCTTCTTTTGGGAGGCAATGAATCTATTTATTACAAGGCTGTGTGAAATACTTGATTCTGATTGGTCAGTGATGATGTTCCCCAGTATGTTATTCCTAGATAACAACCGCTGAATAACATCGGCTCATCTGGGAACTCTGAATTAACTTGAACATTAGTGAACATATTCTCGTCTACAGACAATATACACTGTAAAAAGTAATTTACATATTTTTAAAAGTAACGCTTTAATCACTTTTTAAAGTAAAGTATCTAATCGCTTTTTACAGTTTATGCTTGTCTTTCTCCGCCATTGTTTTTAACTATTTTGCGCCATCGTGTGACTGAATAGAATGGAGGTTAGTGTATGCTCCATTCAACTGACTTTGTTTCTGTCAGTTTTGCCTTTAATTAAAGAATTAGTAAACTACCATGGCTCGGAACAATGTTTTGAGTCTTAATTTTCATGTTTTGCATCAAGTAGTCCTGTAATAAATAGGAAAATACATCCAGGTGGTTGTTATTGCAGAATATAGCCCTTCAGTTTTATAGAACAGCACTTCGCTGGGGGCTGCCGATAAACCTATCTAGCTTTATTCTGTGATAACCAACTGGATGTACTTTATCCCTTACTTATCTTTTACTTTGGCTTTTGTTACATTTCCATCTAGCTAGTTTATTTAACTAGCTATGTTACACAATACATGAACGTTTTTTATTGCAAAAAGAACACAATAGTGATAATTAAACCTTAATTTGTGTAACCTTTATCACTACTTTTTGCAGTTCTTCAATATTCTTGCCAAAAAAAAAAAAGAGAAACATTCTGCATTAATTTTGATTATCTAAATTAACACTTCCTCCTCTCTTTGTTGTGGTGGTCTTTAGCTGCAGGCACCCAGCGTGAAAGGTTTCGACTTTGCCAAGCTGCACATGGGACAGCACAGTAAGGATGATCTCATGGTCATTCAGGACCCGTTGCCACTTCCAGTCCCTGCAAAGGAGCAAAGCCCAGCTGAAAATGCAGAGGTGCCCACACCAAAGTCCAAATCCTCATCCAAAGCGTCCCGCAGTGGCCAAAGACGCAGGGGACAGTAAGTCTGATGGGTTTCTTTGATGTTCAGGATCAACCGTTTTAGCCACAGTTCAGTTTTTGATAACACTGTGAGATTAAGTTCCTGTTTTATTAGTAACATGAACTAGCAATGAACAACACATTTACAGTAGTATTTGATTTAAATGTTAATATTATTTATTACATAATAATAAGTTACCCCACCCCCTTAATCCTTGTGTATTGTTTAAATTTACCACCTTTTTGTTATGTTGGTGACTTTTTTTTTGCCTCATTAACTTCCATTATAATTACATTTTTTGATTGCAAAGCCATGACACCATATATTCATGCATTCTTCATTGTTGGTTTTTCCTGTTAGGAAGAGGTCAAGTTTGTACTCTGTACTGTTGCTCATCAGTTGGCAGCATTAACCCTTTAGACAGGTCTGCGCAAACTAAATTTGGCTTTTATATGGAGTTCTGTGGAATATAACAACAAATTATAGTGTGCATGCATACGTATACTTACTATGTTTACTGTGTTCTGAGAGCTGAGGTGCTTATTTTGATTTTCTTACCTTGATATGTTTAAGTACACAAAGGTATCTCTCACACACACATGTACACACACTATACTCAACATAAAAGCCAGAAACTAAGCTTTCTTGCACTGCAACTGATGATCAACAGCATCAGTTACAAATTGTACGTCTTCCCAACAAGGAAAACCACCAACAATACATAATAATATGGTGTCATGGCTTTGCAATCAAAAAATATTATTATAATGGAAGTCAGTGGGGCAAAAACTGCCTCTAACATAATGAAAGGGCAGTCGATTTGCTCAAAGTGTATTGTTCAGTTTGTAAAAATTTTCAAATAATTTCCCCAAAATATGTGTTAAAATAAGATTTGTCACCAAAAAATTATTCCATTTGCTGAAACAGAGAAAGCTGTGGGCAAATTAATACTCAAAATCACCTCAGAGTGGATAAATAGGGCTGAGCAATTTGGCCTAAAATCTAAATCTCGATTAATTGAAAATTTTAACTGGATTACGATTAAAGAACGATTATTTTATTCATTTATTTTATTTTGTTGCTCTCAGAGTTCACTGATGAGTTTTGTACAGTAAGTATGCTCACATATTACAAGTGAGGGATTTCTGAATGAAGGGTGCATTGCTTGATTTTAAAGTAATTAAAGGAAACACACACCATCTAATCCATAATGATTTATTGAACATCAACATTGAACAACTGATAGTAAAACACACATTGCCTAAAACCAACAGTCAATTTTTTCATATAAAAAAGTGAAAACAAAAAACACTTTTGGAAACAAAATTAATTATTTTCAAAGTTTTTCTTATTAAAAGTAGAAAATAGCAGATTCACTACAAAAAACAAAACAAAAAAACTCTTGTATATCCTGTATGTAATATTTTAAACAGTGTATTTTGCGTATCTTCTGTAAACAAATATTTTAATGTAAATAATAATTTTATTGTAATAGTAAATAGTGCAGCTTCCAATCATCTTCAATGTAGTGCAAATGTGCGAAGTGTAGTTACATTTTTTGAGAGGTGCAGAGGAAAGGGACCATGCAAAGGCTGCAGCAGACCACACCCGTGCATTCGGTGCAGGAGTTTTAATCAGTTTTAACAGAGCAGGGTCACATGACTACAAAAGCGATAGGGTAATTAATTAAGTAATTGAAAAAATTGACCTAAAAGAATTAGATTGATTGTAGGTTCTGAATGTCGATTTCAATTACTTTTCGATTAATCGCCCAGTGCTAAATGAAAACATCTTCATGAGCCCACAAGGGTTAATATTTAGGTCTGAAAACGTGTTTTTTTTTCATATAATAAATAGTATTTAGGTCTGGAAACATCTTCTTTTGATATATGCAAACTACATTTCTTCCAAATTTTTACTAAAAGTATTGTTATTTAGAGCTTTTTTTGTTGCATAAAATAAAAAAAGACAGTTCAATGTCAATATTTTAAGTTCAGATGTGTTATGCTCTAAAGGACAATTTTTATTTGAAATAAAAGAAGAATTGTATTATAGAGTAAATCAAAAATAAAAATTTTCGCTAAACCTATACTCACTTAATCCAGAGAAATTGGGAATTTCCAATTGATCCATAGCTATATTTGTATAAAATGTGTTGATACACAATTTTTTCCCCAAAATTTAAGAAGTGAAAACATAAAATGTTTTATTTTGACCTTTTGTCGTTTTTTTTTTTTTGCAAATAAATACTACAGATTGGGCCATTTATATGGATACACCTTAATAAAATGGGAATGGTTGGTGATATTAACGTTCTGTTTGTGGCACATTAGTATATGTGTGGGGGGAAAACTTTTCAAGATGGGGGATGACCATGGTGGCCATTTTGAAGTCGGCCTTCTTGGATCCAACTTTTGTTTTTCAATAGAAAGAAGGTAATGTGACACATCAAACTTATTGGGAATTTCACGAGAAAAACAATGGTGTGCTTGGTTTTAACTTTATTCTTTTATGAGTTATTTACAAGTTTCTAACCACTTATAAAATGTGTTCAATGTGCTGCCCATTGTGTTGGATTGTCAATGCAACCCACTTCTCCAACTCTTCACACACTGATGACAACACCACAGGAGAAATGGCAGCACTGGCTTCCAGTATCCGTAGTTTCAGGTGCTGCACATCTTGTATCTAAATGGCCCGCCCTATATAACACTATAAATACTGTAATGCTATAAATAATATAGATATTTAAAATTTTACGATAACAAATAATATTAAAAAGGTGATATCAGTAGTTTATGTAATAAAACCCAAATTAACATTTTACTTAAAACACTTATCACAATTATTAATGGCAATCAAAAGTACCAACAATTTAAAGCATTTTTTTATACTTTACACTGTAATAGTGAATTACAATGTTAATTTGTTAAACTATTTTTAAACCTCAAGTTAGCCTCTTTTTTGTTGTTGCTTTTTTTGCTGAATGAACCTCTTTAAAATAATTTGTTCATTTATTTAAATGTTGAAATCTAGCTAAGAGTGAGTCGATTGGTGATCAATAGAAAGCTTTTAAAGAGGATTACATCTCACACTCTGATCAATAAAGGGTCTTGGGGGTGAAGTTACTACAGATCTCATGTCTTACCAAGATTACAAGAGCTGAAACCATGTAGACCATGAAAGTTATGTCATTTTGATACATTCATTATTATATTAGCTCAAATTGAATAATGTGTATTTTTAAATATATTTTCAGAATAAAATAACTTTACTTTAAATTACTTTAGTGTTGCAAGCAATTAATCTTGATTAAATGCATTCAGAATAAAAGTTTGTATTTACAAAACGTGTGTCTACTTACTGTGCATAACTAATGTGTGTGTGTGTGTGTGTGTGTGTGTGTGCGTGCGTGCATATATATATATATATATATATATATATATATATATATATATATATATATACATACATACAATTTATATATATATATATATATATATATATATATATATATATATATATATATATATATATATATATATATATAATACAAAAAATACAAAACCAAATTTTTTACATTTATATTTATCTATAATTTATATTTGATTTTTATAACTATAAATTTTTAACTATAAATAAACATTTACTCAAATATCTACATGTATGTTTGTATTTAGATTTACAAAATTAATATGCGCAGTACACATTCTTTTATTGTGTAAAAACAATTACAAATTCAATATTGTTAAATTGCAAAAAGTGATATTTTTATCTTTTAATAGATGTCAACCAATCTAAACTAAAACAATACAAAATATAAATACATTTCTAATATATGTTTTAGTTATTTATCTAGACTACAAGCGTATTGTAAATAGGTAATGGACTCATGACCAAATTCTGACCCTTTGTGTGGTCACATTAGATCTGAAAGTGCTCTTTTGGAGCATGACAGGATTAGGTCATCGTCCTCTTGCTTTTACCCTGGAGACACATGCCTCATCAAAACTGGATGAGTGATAAATATTGTTGTCTGTCAGACAAGGATGTCTGCTGTGTTTTGAGGAATTGGGTTGTAAATTATATCCCAGAATTATACACAAAGAAGAAGTTAAAAGGTGTATATGTATGAATTAGCTATTCATTTAAATGTGTAGAATTAAATTTGTGCCAATAAAAATGTACATTTAAAAAATAGTGGAAAGATATTGGAAAACAAAATGACATTATGAAAAAGTAGAAACATAAAACAATCTTCCAATATATTGAATTCGTTAACTATTCCTAAATATTGTTTGCTATTATTTGCAAGTATTATAATGATGCAACTGATTTTGCTTACGCTTCGCACATCTTTCGTTCGCTATTTTGACACAAACCTCACATGGAGACGGGTTTAATCATGGTCTACTTTGATTGGCTATTGAGCTTTTGATGATTAGTTTTACCTTTATCGGCATTAAAGTCTTTAACATGAAATCTGTAGCATCACATTCATAAGTGAAGTTTAATTTATTAAACTAATTTCGAGAGGAGTACGTACTCCATGATTAAACCAGCTGGCTCATATTAGCTAATCACGATCCTCCAATCAAGGGTCCCTAGTGCCTATATATATCTCCTCCTTTTCCACTTACAACTATCTTCGTCTTGAAGAATCCCCCCTCCTCCCCCTTCTTCCACCTTTATCCAAAATAGGTGGCTCGACGGCCCAGCAACCAGCAGCAATACCAATAGCTCCGGCTCCCTACTTGAGCTTCTGGTATCTCTGCGTGGGGCTAGCACATTTCCCCCCGCCCCGGTGTTTCAGTTCTCTCCCAAAGCATAAAAAAAATAAATAAATAAAAAAAAATTTTCCTCTGCATCATAGACCTCTTAAACCTAAGTCTCTTTTACTAGTCGTCTCACTCTCAGGAAGTTCACCTTGGCTAGCTGCGGGGGAGTTTTGAGATCGCCCTGAGCTCAATCTCCCTTCGCCCCACAAAGGGAGGAAGCCCTGGACTCGAGGAATGCCTTGAGCTCAGTGCTCTCTCCCGGGACAGCATGCCAAATGAGCTTTCGTAAGTCATGAGCTAAGTGTGAACTCTTGAAATAAATGATTTAGAAAAACAAATGTTTGAAAATAGTTAACAATAAAAGAAACAGAGCATTTTTGCGACTTAGTTAACATGTCTAAGATTTTTCTTCATTTGTAATAGTGTTTTTGAAATATTCTGGAAAAGTTGCATTAAATTTTATTAGGTTGCTTTATTTTTATTGGTACAAATATAATTTAATAGAGTTGCTGCTTTTGTTATTCTATCACATGTAAAATGTTATCAAAAAATTAATTGTATTGCATAATGCAAAGATATTGGTGTGGTTAAGATATATGTATGTTTGGTAAAGATATATGTATGTTTGGTAAAGATATATGTATGTTTGGTAAAGATAAATGGTTTAGAATGAAAGCATCTTTCTTGTGTTTTTGTCAGGATTTCACCATCTGAGGGCGACTCTATTGGCAGTGATCCGGCCAGTGATAGAGGCTCACCTGAGGAGGGCACGAGACCCGCTGGTCTCCCTAGCGATCCAAAGCAGACACGTAAATCGGCTGCTAACGGACTCAACGGTAAGTTTGTAATGTTCACATATCACAATACTTTTTCTTGTCCTATTGAATTGCAGAGAGACTGAAACTGGTCTCACAGACACACTTTATCTTACTTTTGCATTTAGCACTGTTGCGAACAATTTATGACGGATATGAAGCATTTAGTCCTTGTATGTATGCATGATGTAGTGAAGTTGGTAACCAATGGTGTTCTGTAAAAGACAAAAATTATTAATTGGATTCCTTATTTATTAAAAAAAAAAAGATTTTAAAAGACAAGAGTTTTCATGCATCAAATACAGTTAAATACAGCATTATTTTCTAATTCATATAATCGAAAATGTCTGGTTTGATTTTCTTTTACTCTGACCAAAAATAAATACAAATCACTGAAATTAAATAAATGAATAAATAATCTAGAAAAACACCATAATTTAATTCAATAATTATAGTATTATAGTAATATCTGGCACATTTAGAACAAAAATCATTAGATTTTTTTTAAGCCTAAGGATTATAATACAACACCAAAATATTTATTAATTTTAATTAACATGTTTTATACTTTGCTTTCATTTTTACTTGCATTTAATAAGTTATGAATATTTAACATATTACTTTTAGGATTTAAAACTTAGATTAAATATTTAGGTAGGCCTTCTAAAAAGAATCGACAGAATTGACATAAATGTAACAATAAAAGTGTTATTAATGGAGACTAGAATAAAAACCATTAATGTCATTTAAAATTTAAATAAAAGCCGAAAATAAGCTAAATATACAAATTGTATCAAATTAAAGTAAAAAAACTGATTGAAAAAAATAATTAATATTTATAAAAAATTACAAATGCAAATAACAAATGACTAAAGCTCAAAGTAAATAAAAACTACAGTAATTTATAGACTGTTGTGGTAAATAAAGCTAAAGTAACACTGCAAATGGAATATATTTAAATTTAAATTCAAATTTAATTGTATTATCTTTCTATTTCTAAATATGTTTGTTGAATAAAATATTATTTCACTAAATATATCTGCTAAATAAATCTGTTTTGCCTTTATTCACTGAGAAATAGATAAAACTATTTATTTTCAAAATAGGGTGCAGTCATTTATGATGAGCACTGTATGTGGGAGCAGCCAACGACATTTAGACTGAACACTAATTCACATTAGCTGCCAATTTTTGTTTTTTCATTTAATTTTTTTTATTTTTTATCAAGTGTCAGTCCTAGTCCTCCATAATAGCCAGTAGAGAAAGAGCATGTGATGTGAGCTTTACAGCGAAGGGAAAGTAATAAAAAGCTGAAGATTTGTGGTTCTTCCTCTTGATTTCCTTTCTAGTCAGTCCAGCCTCATTCATCCCATCTGCTTTGTGAAGGATGACTAACCCTCGTCCTTACTCTTAGCTGCTGGAGTTTTTTCTTCTTCTTCTTCTTCACTTTGTCACTCTCGTTCCCTTTATCTCTCTCTCTCTCTCTCTCTCTCTCTCTCTCTCTCCCCCTTTCTGTGTGTTCATCTCTTGTCAAACAGTGCCTGTAGCGATGACCCTTTCTCAAGACTCATTTCTGCTCTAGAAGACTAAATAGGCTGCAGTCTGACTAGCCAAGAAATGACACAGAATTCAATCATAGCACCTGGCTTTTTCTTTTTCTCTCTGTCTGTCTGCTTTCTTTTCATTTTAACACTCTTCTGCTTTGAAAATCACTTTTTTATCCACCTCTCACCGTCATGCTTTACTTAAACTGACTGCTAAGAGTGTTTTAATGCACAGTACCGCTTTTATTGTAAATAGGTTTTATTCAGAAGTGTGTTTAAATGTTTTCTTTTGTCCTAGGTATCATCTTGTATTCCTTTTTTTAAATTTTGATTGAGTTTTAAATCTGAAATTAATTTCTTTATCAAAATAAAAGCATATAGAGATAAAAAACACATTCTTTTTTTTTTATAGATTTGTTAGTTATATATTTAATGGTTATTTTATATTTTATTAATATTATAGTTAGTTTTTTTTAGATCTGAGATAATTGGAGTCTTTTTAATGGCAAGACATTAAATAAGGTAATAAACACCTCTTTTCATGATTATGCTCCAGATTTGTTGTTTTTTTTTAATTTTTTATATGTATAAACTTACTAACACAGAAATACTGAAATGTATTTTATACTATAATATAATACACATTTTTATATAATATGATACATATTATTTTTATTTTATTTTTTACAATTATTATATTTTATTTATTTATTTTTTATTTTTTTATTTTTATTTTATTCTGATGTCACCATGGAGATTATGGCATGTTATAAAAAAAGGAAAACAGAGGTTGAAAAGCAACAAATAACACAAAAATACTGATTGTTTTTCTTTTATAGCTTTGTTAATTACATATTATATTTTACTCTGAGATCTGAGATAATTGTAGTTTTTATAATGGCAAGTCAAATAATAAAGTAATAAATACCTCTTTTCATGATTATGTTCCAAGTTTGTTTTTATAATTTATTTATATATATATATATAAATAAATATACACATATTTATAATATTATATATATACACACACACACGCTGGATAAGTTAGCGGTTCATTCCGCTGTGACGACACCTGATTAATAAAGGGACTAAGCCGAAATGAATGAATATATATAAACTAACAAACACAAAAATACAGAAATTTTTATAACTTCGTTAATAATACGTATATTATGTTTATTTATTTATTTATTTTTTATTCCGTTGGAATTATGGCATGGCGTTTAAAAAAGTGAATAAAATAAATGTTTTCTCTTATGATTGTTTTTTTTTTCTTACCTTGTAAATACAGAAAAAGCAGAGAAGCTAAACATTTTAAGTGCGTCTCTTATTTTTTCCCCATTGCTGTGTATGTGTACCCTGGCTCCTTTTTACATATTTTAGTAATATTTGAGCAATTCCAGCATTATGGATGTGACTTCTGTAGTAAAAACTTAAAACATAAATTTACAGAGATCTCTTTATATTTTCCAGAACAACTGACTAGTTAAGGGGTCAGAAAAATATTAATTTGTAAACATGTTTTGTACTTTAAATAAGGAAAATAAGCTTGCGTTATGGATGTGACCAAAAAAGTTAGCAATTTTACAGAATACAACCTGCTTTGTAGAAATTTTGTGAATTAAACTGCTCAATCCTAAAGAAACAATGCTAATAAAAGGGATAAGAGTCGGCTCACTATTGAACAAAAATAACTGATTTTATTTTATATAATATTTTTGCATTTATGAGGAAAAATGTCGTAATGGATGTGACATCTCTAACTTATGGATGTGACAGATGTGAAATTGTCACTTGTGTGACTTTGGTTAATCAATTATAATAGTTTGAATACATTGACAGATGCATTTTTGAGTATTTCTAAAGTACTGTAAAATACTTGCTTACCCAAAAAACGTAGAAACTGTTTTCATTTTTTGGTGAAAATTTTTCATGGCAAGGTTGACATTTGCATGGAATTGCTCATACAATACTTTTCAAAACATTAGGGTCGGTAAGATTTATTCATGATTTTTGTGTGTCTTCTGCTTACATGTCTGCATTTATTTAAATTTTTAAATAAAGATTAACTTCTCTGTCAAATATTCCACTCAAATATGCGTTTACATTACAAACATCTTGTTTTATTTCATCTCCATTATTTCAGCTGTCATTTTTTTCTCTCTTTTATGCTCCTTCCATCCATTCATCCCTCTGTTACTGGCTCACAGGAAAGAATAGAATTGGTAAGAGTAATGCTGTGTGGTACAGTAGTGTTAGATGTTTTTATTTTCAAAAGATTTATCATGCTCCAGTCTTGAGGTCTCTCATGTTTGATGTAAAATGAGGTTCAGGAAGATGCTGATGCTGCCCCCTTCTGGTGAAAAATGTTACTTCAGAGAGGTTTTTTTTAGATGGAAAAATAATAGGCTACATGAAAATTCTCAGTTTCTCTGGATTTTTATGATTATTGTGTTAGTTTTGATATGTTTTGCTGATATTCAGTAAAAGTCATATTTATTTTATTCCATAAACTACTGATGACATTTCTTCCAAATTTCAAAAACCTTGGCATGTAAAACATTTGATGTTGCTTACAATTAAAAAAAGTTACATTTTCATGTTTATATTCATTTTTAGACAGCAAAATACCTTTTTTTTTTTACTTCAGAAGTGCTAAAATATAAATATTGGGAGGAATAACCTTGATTTTTCAGTCGCAACAAGTCATAACATTAGTTTTTTCTGAACAGTTGCCTTTTTGTGGAAGAAAAAATGCTCTGAATTATTATTTTTTTAATATAAAAGAAATGTTATCAGACCTTTCTTAAATAAAACAAATATACATTTTATACTCAATCCATACCTAATAAATACAGTAAAAACAGAGAAACTGAGCATTTTCAAGTGCATCTCTTTTTCCCCCATTTGGACAGCTGTATGAAATCCTAAAGTTTAGATTCTTAATCGTATGTTTCTAAATGGTTCTAAATAGTCTGTCTCTAAAAATGAGGATGACGTATCCCACCCCCCTCACATACCTAATATGTACAGTATATATCACAACAATTTACATATTAAATAAATGCACTCTATGGCACCTTTAAAATTGTATCAGTGTTTTGATTGTATTAATTCAGAAGGAACCATCATACATTTGTTTGTCAATTATTCTGCAATGAAAAGAAAATGTATTCAATTATTTATTTGAAATTAATATCGTAAAAGTCTTTACCATTACTTTTAATCAGGTAATTGCGAATATTGATCTCCATACTTTGTCGTTTATCTTTATAGGTCCACCCCCAATGAATGGCATGGATGAGCCATTATCTTCAGCCTCCATTTTTGAGCATGTGGACCGAATGTCACGTCCAGTTGATGGCCCCAAACGTCTCCCTAATAAAATCCAGCTCATCGCCATGCAGCCAATGCCAGCTCTGCCTCTACCTAACACTACAGCTAATGACAAAGCGGCAGAAAATGCCAAGCTTAACAAAGAGGTACCTTCTGTGAATCTAATCTATATTCATTTCTCAAGGCATTTCCTTAGGGGCCCTTTTTCGATTTTTATGGCCGCTTTGATTTTAAATTTGATTCACAGCATCAGCAATAATCAATATGTGCTACTCATTGTCTGTTCTTCCTCCTTCAGATTCAAGTGGCCTTAAGGCACAAGTCTGAGATCGAGCACCATCGTAATAAGATCCGCCTGAGGGCCAAAAGGAAAGGCCATTATGACTTCCCTGCCATGGATGATCTCATCGATGGTCTCGGCGACCCCAAAGAGCAGGACCGAATCTACCAGAAGGCCCAGATGCAGATTGACAAGATTCTCGATCCAGATATTCACATGCCTTCACTGTACACCGAGCCCAGAAAGAGGTAAAGATGTCCCGCTCCTGTTTTCACCCAAAGTTTAGAACTTAAAGGGGCAGTTCACCCAGTTCAAATGAAAATTTGCTCAACATATATTCACCCTTTATGAGTGCATTGTTTCTTTTGAAAAAAGATATTTTAAAGAAATCTGTAGCCATTGACTTAAATTCCCTTGAATTGCCATTAGTTTCCTTAACGCTCACCTGAGAGTGTATGTTTATGTTACTTTGCAGCAACAGAGGGAAGCGTTCTCCTAAACAGAGAAGGAAACAGCAGATGAACGGTGAGCTGACAGATGCTGACCGAGACAGGCTCATAACCACAGACAGCGACGGGACATATAGGAAATACCCAGGAGTCAATAACATAGCATATGTGGTCAGTGTCCTGAAGTATTTTGTTTTTCTCTCTCTCTCACTCTATATTTAATGCAATTGCATGTTACTGTGTAATCAAATCCATGCTGTTTCTTTCCTGATCTCTCCACATGTTTGTAATTTAAGACATTGCTAATCAACTACATGCAGCGAATTAGCAAGTGCTAATTTATTAGAAAGATCATTTCTTAATTTCAAAACAAAAATAGTATTAATATAAATAACTGTAATTTTAACTGTATTTGATTAACTTTGTTATTTAAAGGTTTATTTGCCCTATTCTAACATAAAGGTTTGTTTCAGAAAGCATTCATTATTCATAAGTGACATTTTTTTTTACTATTTTCTGTTTATATGTACAGTTGAAGTCAAAATTATCAGCAGTTTCTGAATTATTATACCTCCTATATTTATTTTTCCCCCATTCTGCTCAACTGAAAGATTTTTTCCAACCCATTTCTAAACATAATAGTTTTAATAACTGACTTATTTTATCTTTGCCATGATGACAGTACATAATATTTTACTAGATCTTTTTCAAGATACTAGTATTCATCTTAAAGTGCAATGTAAAGGCTTGAAGGTTAAGGTAATTAGGCACGCCATTGTATAACGATGGTTTGTTCTTTAGACAATTAAAAATAAATATTGCCTAATATTGCTAATAAGATTGACCTTAAAATGTTTTTTTGTTTTTTTTTATTAAGAAATGCTTTTATCCTAGCCGATAGAAAACAAATAAGAATTTCTCCAGAAGAAAAAATATTATCAGACATACTGTTAACATTTTTTTGCTCCATCAAATATCAATTGAGAAATATTTCACAAGAGGGTTAAAAATTTTAACTTCAAGTCCATGGATCAATTAGTACCAGTGCTGGTTGTACCAGTCCATGGACCAATTGGTACGGGCCCACACAAGGAGTCATTTATTATTTCTATCTAATAATAAAGTTTTATTTATTATCTAAGTCTGAATGATCCTTTATTTTGAAAAATGACCGTATTTCCTCGCTTACATCTCGGTCACTTGAGCGGCCAAATTTAACCCACAAGCAGAAAAATAAGTAAGAAACAGAAGTCTTTGGAAAGTTTTTTGCTTAAGGGGAAAGGCGAATTGCAGAGGAATAGATCCGCATACCATTTGTCAAATAATCAGGTGAATTCACCATGTCTGTAGAGATTGCAAATAACGGCGGCTTTAGGGGCTGTTCACATTTCACGTCTGTTTTAAGAGTTTGCACAAGTTTATTATTTCCAATGGAGGTGCGCACACAAGTGGCATGACACACTCGCATCTTCCAGACGCACACAGTTAAATAAATGCTGCGAGCCTTGTGACAACAACTGATCGATCAGCTTTATACTTTTTATGGAATATACACATTTTGGTCGACGTATTATCTCCGACAAACACAGAAGACCCAAACACTGCAGTGCTTTGTAACTTTCTCCATAAATAATACTTTTATCAGAGTGACAGCAATGTTTTGTCAGCTTGTCATCCTCTGAGAAAACAAATGATGATCGCCTGGCAACCTCAGAACCACCGCTGCAACCTCCCTGGTCCATGGTAAAATTATCAAGCGTTGACTGGTCCGCAGTAATAAAGAGGTTGATGGCTACTGGTTTATACCACAAAACTATTAAGCAGTGAAAAACACTGAAGACTGGAAAATTGTATATTTAATAAAATAACATGTAACTTGTTTTTAAAATGATAATTATTTGTCATTTGATTTGGTTTTGCAGTCGGACCCAGACCAGTGTCCCGAGCATAATAGCCCATCCCCGACGGATGATGTTTTTCACTGTCCGATTTCTCCTCCTCCTGGTCACCCTCCTCCACCACCCCCTTACCTGCCTCCTCAGCCCTCTATAGAGGAGGCCCGGCAGCAGATGCACTCTCTCCTGGACGATGCCTTCGCCCTTGTGTCTCCCTCATCTCAGGGTAGCACCGCTGGCATCACTCTGCCCGGGGTCGGTATCAACCCTGCGCCACCACCTCCATTGAGCCCACCATCACGGGGACCACGGCCCTGGGGCCCAGGATACCCGCCCTTGAATCCCTACACAGGGGTAAGATTAACTGTAGCGGATTGCTGATTTACTGGCTGATTAGCATTTGGTATTGTTTTATGTATATTAATATTTAAGTTTTTTTTTTTATTTGGTGTGTGTGGGTGTGTACTGTATATACAGTGCCCAGCATAAAAGAGTACACCCCTCACATATCGCTCTTTCAAATTATTATTTTATATAGAATGTTTAATATTTTTTTATAATAACATATATTTACATATCATTTACAATAATATATATTTTTTGTATATACATTAATCAGTACCAAAGCCAAAACTGGAACTAATAAAAAAAAAAGCTTAAGATGAAAGCCCAAAAATGTGTACACACAAACTAAAATGTTGGGGAAAAATATTAAATAATAATAACAATAATAAATAGGAAAAATAAAGAGAAACATAAAGAAATATGCAATATAGTTTGGTTAGTTTAAATATTTATATATTATTATTTTTATTTATTTATTTTTTTTTTTACAATAACTCGTTTGAATTAATTTTTTTTTTCTTTCTAATCCTTAAGATGTTAGGTGACTAAACTTTTATTTTAATGGATTTAACTAAAACTGTTTTATTTAAATGCATCAAAATATACTGGCTGTAAACACTAAAAAATGGATTAAAGATTTTGTTTTTTAAAAGTGGCTGCACTTATTTATGTTAAGCACTGTATATATAACAAATATATTGGCTAATACTGGAAAGGTAGATAGATAGATAGATAGATAGATAGATAGATAGATAGATAGATAGATAGAGAGATAGAGAGATAGAGAGATAGATAGAGAGATAGAGAGATAGAGTGACATATAGATAAAATATATATAAACTGGTTAAAGAATAAAAATGATGCCAGTGGAGCTTTCAGTTTTAGTTGGTTTCATCTCGACTTACTTCAAAGTAGAAAAGAAATAGAAAAAGATTTATAATACAAAGTAGGTGGAGCTACAGAGCCACACCCACCTATTACATCATCGCCATGAATTAATAGTTGAAAGTGTTTACCTTTTCGAGAAAGTTTTGCTTGGGCAAACTGTTTTACAACTACTAAAATAACCCCCAACAACCCTTGTTTTTGGCTTGATTTTATCCAAATGAATATCCAAATCTTTCTTCGAATTTACTTGAAGAATTTTGGGCTTTTATCTTCTCTCATCACTTAGAAATTCATTAACAGATTGTGTGCACTTTTTTATTTTAAACGTTCTGTTTGTGTATGAAAAAAAAAAAACAGTAAATCTGATCTTAAATCATCCTGCTATGAAGTCATGAATGCCTCAAACTGTGTGGTTTATTTAGAAGAAAGGTACTTTTACTTTTCTGAGCGATTGGACATATGATTTTCTTGTGAAAATCATATGTTCCGGTCTTTTGAGAACACATCCTGTCTGAGAAACCACTAGATGATGCGTATTCATGTGATTAAAAAGCACATGATGAATTATTGTTTTCATTTCTACAGTCCAATACTTGTATGATTTCCCCTTGTCTAAAGCTGTGGTTGCGCTAGACTTCCCGCTCCATTCACTGCCATTTAGACCAGAGACACAAGCATTTGAGAAGCAGTTTAGTATCCACAGTTTGTTGAATGCTGATTTCTAAATGTAAAATACTACTAATGAATAAATATTTTTTTATAATATTTTAATAATTTTTGTCAAAATATTTGTGTTCCTTAAAGATCGAACAACAGCAGCAATCTAAAAAAAATTGTCTGCACAAATACATATCCTAATTGCTAGTATTTTTAAACATGTGTACTTGATGATGGTTTAATGGAGTCCGTTATTGACTGATTTCATTATAAATGTGTATATTACAGCGATATAAGCAAATCACATCAAAGAAACCCATACTCTGTTTTCCACAGATGGAAAATAAACTACTCAAAATTGAAGCCTTGTCTGTCCACACAGACCTTAATGAAACACTTACAGTAGGACAGCCAAATATGTAGATACAGCAACAACTCCAGTCAAGAATCATCAACCTGTTTTAAGCTCAACAACTGCACATGTTTTGTGTATTTCTTGCAGAGATATGCTGAATTAGGTCTGCCTCCTTCCAGTGTGCAAGGTTTACTACATAGGTGAGTATTTTTTATTTACATTTTTTGTGGTATATTGCTCTACTCTTAAACCTAACCCCTAAACATAAACCTAAGTAATGACAACGACACACATTCAGTATTAATCCACAGAGTGGCAAAAGTTGATTTATTTAGAAAATTTACTGCGCTGCGTGTGTGTAGGTAAGGCTGATGGTGGCCATAGCAAAGGATTGCCAGTTCGGAAACGCACTTAAAATCACGTTTTTAACATGGTTTTGGACGCGATATGTGAACAGCCCCATACAGATTTATCCTAAGAGATAGAGTACAAGCACTGATTTATAATAAATACGGTATAACAAGCCGCGCGGGGGGATTACAACCAGGGCCGTCGCGTTCACAGAGGCAACCTAGACCCGCCCCCTCCCCCCTCAGTCCTCACCTTTAATCCGTGAACCTGTCACTTAATTTTTCACTTTTGGGTTGAGGGCAGCGTGTTCGTCGTTCGCCTAGAGTGCCAGTTCAGCTTGCTCCAGCCCTGATTACAACTTATAACACACAATTAAACACATATTTTGCAAACTACACAAAACGAAGGAACAATTTTAACAACACTTACATGTTATGATATGGAGGAAGAAGAAACTGGCCCATTTGAACTGTAAAAGTTACTGACAAAGTCCCTGTCAAAGTCTGCAAACGACTGAAGAATCCCGCATTGCAGAGTAGGTTATTGAATCAAAAATCTGAAAAATGACAGGAACAAACACAGCACTAGGTTGCCTATACTGTGGTGTTGTTGTGAAAATGAACTTTAACCCTTTATTCCCTGCAACCAAATCTTCATCTGACAGTGATCGTCATCTTCGCAACATGATCAGTCCTATGATCCCCGCGCGCTCCGCTAGTGTGTGGAGGGAAAGCGCATGCACATTTTAATGAAACTGGAAGTATATATTTGGTGATGTACCGTATCGATGTCAATGCGATCAAACAAAACATCCGAACGCAACTCGACTCTAAATCAAATATTTCGCAAAAAAAAATTAAAAATAGTTTTAAACATGCTGCAATTTTAGATTTAAACCTCAGCTGGATGTTTTTATCCACTTAGAGCCGTGTTACACACCGCATGGATGCTCATTTTCAAAAACCCATAATAGGGGCTCTTTAGTACATTAGCCTTATCAATATATTCGTCAAGCAGTAGTGTAAATTTCGTCCTCTAAAGATATTTTAGGGGATGTTTTGGAAAGTAACAGTGCTTCCGATCACTTTGCATGAGTGTACTCTTTATTGTTGTTGTTCCTTTTTAACACATTTTTCAATCATTTAAATTTTCCTTATTTTTTATAATTATTGTGTTTTGTTTCTTTTATTATTCTTTATGTAAATCACCTTATATTACCATTGTGTCTAGAATGTGGTGTATAAATAAACTTGCCTTGATTGTAGTGAGATTGGTGAAGTCTTGTTTTTGTTGGAGTGCAGTGTGGGTGTCTGATGTTTTTGTGTCTCTACAGACAGGGATTGGGGTCCAGCTATATGCCATCAGGAGAATCCCTGCCTGCTGAACAACTACAGCCAGAGTCACTTTACCCTGGTCGAGGGACACACACTGATGAGCTGCCCTCCTCTGCCAGACCACGACCAGTAGGGGGCACTACAGGTACGAGAAAAACTCTGGATTGTTATTGGGGTTATTATAAGATTATTGAACTTTCATGACTTAACAAAGGGTTTTTAAGTTTTAATCAATGATGAGGAAGTTAACATTAGGCATGGGACGAAAACCGGTTTCAAGAAATACCACGGTTTGGAAAAGTCAAGTTTTGTTTGTTTTATTTTTTAGGATAACAGTATCTCCAGCTGAAAAGATATCCAAAGATGCTTTTTTCAAGTTGTAAAAAAACTGTGTTTCTGAAACTAATAAAGAGAGCAGAAGTCAATGATTTATTTAAATTATTTAGCCTGACATGTTTACGGTCTCAAAATAGAATTGTTCAAAATGTATTGTGTTCAAAGGGGGGAAGTTTTAGTTTTTTTTCCCAGACATTTATGAAGAACTTATTTTAGAGCAGTAATCACGATACCGTGAAACCGTGATATTATTATACAAGGGTATCATACCGTCAGAATCTTATACTGGCCCATGCCTAGTTACCGTTTATGGTTATTTTCCTCCTAAAGGGTTAGAGTGGTAGTGATGGATGCATGGATATGTGAAACATGCATGTGTGTTCACAGGTGCACAGCTGCATCATCTAAGTCACGTTGGTCTGACAGGTCGTATAAATGACAGCCGACAGCTCGGTGGGTCAAACTGGAGCCAGTATCCTGAGGACGATAACAAACTCGCTAACAACAGGGAGCCTGTAAGTTTAAAATACTCTTCAAAGTACATTTTAAATGAGCACACTCACAAATATACATATATAAAATATTCTTTGCACATTATTTATTATTTTTAGACTTTATTATTCTCATGCTAAGCTCTGACATTTTATACAGAATATTTATTAAATTGAATTTGCTATACAGTAATCAACATTTGAAGTGGATCAATCCTTTCATCAAAGTTGTCCTAAAACTATTGAAAAACATTCTTGTCTTAGGACCATTTTGAAAAACTATAATAATCCACTTCAACTGCTTTCTGTTGTATGTATGTATGCATGTATGCATGTATGCATGTATGTATGTATGTATGTATGTATGTATGTATGTATGTATGCATGTACAGTTTAAGTCAGAATTATTAGCTCCGCTGAATTAATAGCCCCCATGTTTATTTTTCCCCCCAATTTCTGTTTAACGGAGAGATTGTGTTCATCTTTAATTATTTAAATATATTTTTTTACTCTATTTGAGATCATTTTTTGTTTGTGTGTCTTTCTGATTCTGAAATCTTGATGAACATTATAAGCAGCAGTTGGGAGGCTACAAATATTCCTCTTCTATAGCTCTTCCCACTTATTTCTTCCTCAATAAGAGGCTCTGTCAAACTCTCCAAACCTTATCAAATCTTTTTTGCCTCATTTCTTCCCTCCTTCCTTCTTTCTCTCCCATATTTCTTTGTTCAGGATTTTGGCTCTCTTGACTACACCTCCATCTCTGTATTCCAGACTTCCAGAAATGGCCTGAAGGAGCCATCTGCTGCTCCGGCCCACCTGGACTCTCTGGGCCTGGGCTACCCTCCCTCCGCTCCCCTCGAGGAGCCTTCACCTCCAAACCACTCGTCCGCCTCGCTCATCAAAGCCATCCGAGAGGAACTGATGCGCCTCTCCCAGAAACAGGCCTCAGTTCCCAGTTATCACAGCTGAGACTGGCCCAAACTGCACTACACTGCACTGTACTTCCCATGGAAGTGGCGTTTTCGAGAGGTCAAAGACTGTCATGTAGCGTCTGCTGCCCCCTGGTGGCAGAAAACATTAGGACAGGAAGAGTAGACATTTCTCCTTAATTTCCATCTTCCTCTCCGGTTCCCCAAGTTGTGTGCCGAGACTGAAGTTTAATGTTTTTTACCTTCTTTAAAGATTGGAAGCAGACCAGGATGTTGAAGCCAAAATCTGGCCACGACACATTTGTTTATGTCAAGTTCAGACTACACATTACCAGATTTTTGGCTTGATTTGTTTAGTGTAGAGCAGGGGTGTGCAAACTAGGTCCTGGAGGGCCGGTGTCCTGCATGGTTTAGTTCCAACCCCAATCAGACACACCTGAACCAGCTGATCAAGCTCTTTCTTGGTGTACTAGAAACTTTGAGGCAGGTGCATTGAAGGAAGTTGGAGCTAAACTATGCAGGACAGCGGCCCTCCAGAACAGATGTTGGACACCCCTGAGGTTGACGATTTGTAAATGATAATGGACACAAAAATCTATTTTATTTATTTGTTTTTCATAAAAAGACACTGGTGTGTTTTGATTTTAACATAGCATTTTAAAATGAAAGCGATCATTGACCTATAGTTGAGTTCCCATAGTTTTCCATGTTAGAAGCTAAAAGTATCTATAAAAATAAAGTACGAAACTGCAGCATATATACAAATACTAAATAAAACAAAGGTTCTTATGGGATTACTATTAAATCATGCTGAGAGGGAAAAGTCTTTTAAATATTATATGTATTAAAAACTGAAAAATATAAAGTAACTAATATAGAAAATTTGTAATAATATTCATTATAAACATAATAAGTCTAGTATGCATGTTAGGCATAATCGTTCTGCTGAATGAATTTAAAGCTATACAAATGTATCCTATTTGTAACAATTGGAATGGTTTTCACAATATTTGGCAACCAAATGTGCAATTTCAAATCATTTTATGGAAAAAAAAGACCTTGTACTTAACTTGCGTTCCAGTATTCGCATAAAATGTCATAATTTGGTAGCACAGACTGTACAATCAATCATTTCAAATATATTAAATATAACTTATTTTTAAACAAGCTATACGTTCATTCATTCAGTCATTTTCTTTTCGGCTTAGTCCCTTTATTAATTTGGGGTCGCCACAGCGGAATGAACCGCCAATTTATACAGCACGTTTTACACAGCGGATGCCCTTCCAGCCACAACTCATCTCTGGGAAACAATCACACACACTCCTACACACTCATACACTACGGACAATTTAGCTAAAAATTGACAATTTAGAAAACCGGAGCACCCGGAGGAAACCCACATGAACGCAGGGAGAACATGCAAACTCCATGCAGAAATGCCAACTGACCCAGCCGAGGCTCAAACCAGTGACCTTTTTGCTGTGTGGCGACAGCACTACCTACTGCGCCACTGCGTTGCCCCAAGCTATAAGTTTCAAGACATCATTTGAAATGGTAAAGTTTTCTTCTATGCATGCATATTCACAGTAAAAACAAAACATTATGACATTTTATTATTAAGAGAACATATTAGATGCACTTTCTGCCATCTTTTCAAAACATCTAACAAAAACAAACCAAAACTCTGTGTAATGATCATATGATCAGAGCTCAACGAATCAAGATAGGAGTAATCCAGAAGAGCCAATCAGGGAGTGAATTTGTGGAGCCACGCCTTTTTTATAATTAATTTTTCGGGGTTTTCACCTTAATTGGATAGGACAGTAGAAAGTATTGACTGGAAAGTTTGGGGAGCAGAGAGAGGGGAAGAATTGCCATAGGACCTTGAGGCGGGAATTGAACTCGCGGTCGCTGTAAGCACCGAAGTGCATATGTCAATGCACTTTCCACTACACCTCTGGCACCAATAAAGCCATGTGTTTTTAGGTCATCTACTTCGAAACCTAACTAAGTCTTCTAATTAAAACAAATCTGAAGCATTTTCAAAAGTCTCAGTTTTTGAGTGTCTAAAACAGGGTTGCCCAAACTTGGTCCTGGAGTGCTTATTTTAGTTTCAACCCCAATAAACCACACCTGAACCAGCTAATCAAGCTCTTTTTGTTTGTCGTGTGACCATGTTTTTTGTCCGTGAGTCAAAAATCATTCAGAAACCAAACAATGTGTAGTCTGAGCCTGGCATTAGTCTTGTTTTAAAGGTTTGCGTGTGTGTTTTTCATATTGTGTTGTTTATTTGCTGTGTCACTGCCTTCACCGTTGAATAATTGGTCACACTTTACAATACAGTTCTATTAGTTCATGTATTCACTAACATAAACTGAGAATGAATCAATACTTGTACAGCATTTATTAATCATAGATCACTTACTTTGTTACTAACGCATTAAAAAATAGCAAATTGTGCTTGTTCAGTAGTGGTTAAAGTACATCCAGATGGTTGTTATATCAGATTAAAGTTGCTAAAAAGCTTATCGGCAGTTGTGTGACTACTGTAAGTCTGTTCTATAAGACTGAAGGGCTTTTTTTCTGTGAAAACAGCCATCTGGATGTGCTTTATTCTACTTTTTGCATGACTACTTGTCACAAAATGTAAAAACTAGATGCAAAACATTGCTCTGAGCTGTAATAGTTTTTTTTTTTTCAACAAACTAACGAAAACGGCTGAATGGAGCGTACACTAATCTATATATTATTCAGTCACTAGATGGCGCCAAATAATCAAAACAGCAGCGTAACAAACATGCTTATAAATATGAACACATTCACTGATGGTCAGGATGATTAGAAGTACCCATATGCATCTGTGTTATTAGTTTCAGCAGTTGGTTTCTCTAAATAAAACACCTTGAAATGTCATGACTGACCAATCAGAATCAAGTATTCCAGACAGTCGTGTTATAACAGTAGCTAATGCACTGTAAGGTAACAGTAAATGATTTTTCCCCATTACCTAATGTTAACAAAGATGAATAAATGCTGTTCTGAATCATTCACTATTGGTTTGTGTCAGCAAATATATTCAAATGAACTAATTGAGCCTTATTGTAAAGTGGTACCGAATCACTTTATACCTTGCACTGGTTCTTGTATAGATTCTGAGAAGTTGAACTGCTTTTGATACCTTGAATTGATCTACAGATTGACCTGCTTCTTTTTTTTTTTTTTTTTTTTTTTTGTTATACTGTACTTTTTTTTTTTTGCCTGTGGTCTTACGATGCTGATCCTTTCATTTTCATTAACGGCCATTAAGCACACATTGCCTTCATGATACAAGTATTGAACCCTACTTGTGGGTCCAGTAATAGCATTTGAAGTAGTGATGTTTTTCATCTTCATTTGCCTTTATTGTGTTTGGCATCTGCAGGAGTGCTGGATATACAGCTTCAGTTTTATTCAGTTTGTTATATATAAAGGAAACTGGGCTGACATGAATGATGCAGGATTACTATGATTTGACAGGTTGTAAAGGCATGCTAAGTCATTTTCAGTAATGTACTTACAATAGTGCTTCTCAAACAGTTATTAAGTGAGTGATGGGCTTATTTTAAAAATACATTAATAATAACAGTAAATTAAGAATTGCTTAACCAAAAATATATTTAATAAATTTGAATCAAATTATGCCTGATTTTGTCGACAGTTAATTAAAATATCAGTCTCACTTTAATGAAAAGCATTACCCAAATGTTACAGGTGTCTTGCTTTCCAAAATTATGCAATTATTTGTTTAAAGTAAACAGTAAAACTGTGAATTACTACAATTTACAATAATAATTTTCTCTTAATAAATGTTTTAAAACACCGTTTATCTCTGTGAGAATGAATCTGAATTATTACATAAGTGTTTAATGTTACAAAGACATTACAATAGTGATTCTCAAACAGTTATTATGTAAGTGATCGACTGATTTTAAAATACATTAATAATAATAATAATAAATTAAGAATTGCTTCATAAAATTCTAAAATATTTAATAAATTTGAATCAAATTATGCCTGATTTTGCTGACAGTCATTCAAATATCAGTCTCACTTCAGTGAAATGCATTACCAAAGAGTTACAGGTATCTTACTTTCCAAATTTATCCATTTATTTGATCAAAATTATAATAAAAATTAAATACTACAATTTTACATAATCATTTTCTCTTAATAAATGTTTTAAAATGCCATTTATTCCTTTGAGGATGAATCTGAATCATTACATAAGTCTTTAGTGTTACAAAAAAATTAGTGGTTCTCAAGTTATTATGTAAGTGATGGATTGATTTTAAAATACAACAACAATAATAATAATAATAAGAAGAAGAAGAAGAAGAAGAAGAAGAAGAAGAAGAAGAATTGCTTCACATTAATTCAAAAATTCAAAAATATTTAATCATTTTGAATCAAATTATGCCTGATTTTGTTCACATTTATTCAAATATCAGTCTCACTTCAGTGAAATACATTTGCAAAATGTTTCAGGTGTCTTTCTTTCTAAACTTGTGCATTTATTTGATCATAAAGTGAAATAATACAATTTTATAGGATCATTTTCTCTTAATAAATGTTTTGTCCCTATCAGGTTGAATCTGAATAATTACATAAGACTTCTCTGTTCTCAAACAGTAAGTGATTGACCAATTTTAAAATACATTATTAATAATAATAATAATAAATTAATTGTCCACAATCATTAAACTATCAGTCTCACTTTAGTGAAATGCATTACCAAAATGATAGAGGTGTCTTGCTTTCCAAAATAAAATGATGCAATTATTTGATCAAAAATATGAATATCAAAACAGTGAAATACTACAATTTAATAAAATCATTTTCTCTTAATAAATGTTTTAAAACAACATTTATCCCTGTGAGAATAAATCTGAATAATTACATAAGTCTTCAGTGTTACAAAAACATTAAAATGTTTATATTTTATGTTCAAGAATATTTCTGAATATCAGTGTTGATTACAGTTGTGGCGATTAGTATTTTTTAACACTTTTGTAAGTGCATTACTCTCAACACAATTTTATTTACTAAAAATTGAGGAATGCATTGTGATAGTTAACAAATTATGATAGATGCTGAAGAGCTTATTCTTTAAACTGTTCTTTTGTATTTATTTTCAAACTGAACAATCTTGAAATTAAAAATGACACCCACAATGTGCTCACTTGAGTACTTTTAGTATTACCACTGTGTAAAGCGTATTACAGTTTGACTGATTTAAACTCAAAGAAATGATGAAGGTGTACTGTATGTCACAGAAACATTTTCCTACTTCTTACTTCTCTCTTCTTTTTTTTTTTTTTTTGAATATTTGTTCCAGAATGCACTATTGCTCATTAAACTACTGTTGATCAAATGGGTACAGTATATTCCTTTGTGACTTCATGCTTTTGATGTGTTAGAAGAGCATAAAACTGTAGTACTAGACTCCTGAAACACTGATCCCGGCTACTTGTACTTTATTTCATGCTGAAGTTTTGTTCTTGCCTTTGTGCTGAAACTATTTTTGTGTTGATGTTGCAAACAGGAGCATATCATCTGCTCTAAAGGGACAATTCTGTTACCTTGTGTCATAATCTGCCCTCGTTTAATTGTTGGAATGAGTTTTTTTGTTTTCGATTTTGTTAAGTTTTTATGTCTGGTTGAAATTTTCTTGACCTGTAGTTAAACATCTGCTGATTCTTAATTTAAGTGACAATTAAAAAGTATTACAGTACCATGGTCCACTGTTTTTTGGTTCACTGAAACTTTGGAAGTGCTCACTTTTGAATAAAGAAATAATAATTCATCATTCATTTATCAGAACTTAAACATAGCTGCAGTTTGCATGGGTGTTTTCTAGTACTGGGTTGCGGCTGGAAGGGCACCTGCTGCGTAAAACATATGCTGGAATAGTTGGAAGGAAATTGAATGAAACGTAGCTGCTGTTTATTTCATTCACTAACAATGAGAGTTATGGCAGGCAGTCGGGGCCAAACAATGTCTTTAAAAAAAACTTGATCATGTCAACAAGCACTGTTTGGTCATGTAAATAAACACAACAGCCCATAAAATTACTGTATTTGGGACTATATTTGCATATTGCATATGGAACGTTGAGATGTAAGTATACAGATCCTGTGCTTATTCATGAAGCATATTGTAATGGTAAACTGGCATGTACTGTACTTGTGTCAAATGTGAAACCATCTTTAATAATAATTTTTTTGTCCTGATCGTCTTTCATAAGGTATTGCATTGAGCAAAACGAATGTTTTTATATTGTGTTAGTAACATTTTATAGCAACTGAAATATGCAAAACACACTGCTCTAAAACATTTTTGCTTATTTTTATATGATTTGTCATTCATATACATAATACAAAGGGCAGAGACATCAATAAAATTGTCAAATTTGTTTTGCAATTACAGCTCATAACCTTTAGAGGGAGCCAAAAGCTTTTCTCTTTAAAGATTAGTTCATTCATAAACGTGAAAGATAAAATAAGTACAAACAATACATTTCTTTTTGAAGATGAGCAAAATATAACCTTTTTTAAGGAGTTGTTTATGTCTTTAAATACATATATTCTTGTTCAAACATACATATACAGAAATTTTAAATGCTCTATTGATAATGCAATATTTAAATACTGTTGATGCACTTTTTATTATTTTGATGTTTGAACATTGTTTGTGGAGATGGTGAATTTAATTAATCCAGAACAAGCAATTAAAGTTTATTTGCAGTTCATTCTACATATTTAGTACACATGTTAGTGCTGGGCAAAGTTTAATCACATCTAAATTATAAGTTTGTTTTGACAATAGATGAAACTTAAATTTCTTTTGTATATGTAATACACACACAATGTAATATTAAAAATACTTTTGCATAGATAATTAAATGTATGTGTGTGTGTGTGTATATATATATATATATATATATATATATATATACATATATATAGTTAAAATTAAAATAAAAATGTTCTTAAATATATGCATTCACATGTATATATATATATATATATATATATATATATATATATATATATATATATATATATAAAAATATATATATATTTTTTTTTTGAATGCATACACGTGAATGCATATATTTAAAAATATTTTTATTTAGAAGGCTGAACAGCATGAAATGCCATCAGTCTACAGAGATTTTCCAGGATTTCCCTATTGCAATCAGGAGATCACAATTAATTAACCCAAAAAAGCCAAAGCAAATACTTTTAGAAACAGTACTGGACTATAGTACAAATACAGCACTACAGCTTACAAAAGAGAAAAATTTACTTAGAAAGTCATTTACCTGTTTAATAATGATTTGATCAGCTGTAGGTTGAAATTACGCTGAGTTTTTCCTCCTCTAGGGGCCTATTATTCTGTCTCTATCGCCATGTGGCGGAGTGTCAACCGTCTTTGCTCTGCTCAGTATGACAGGCTGATTGATGTCGACGTGCTATACCCCTGAAATTATAATTATTTTAAAAAGGCACTGTTCTTATAAATAAACTGCATAGTTGCAATCTAAACAACTACATTCTCGCCTAAAAAAAGCCTCAAATGTACATTATGTTCTCTAACTATTGGAATATTTGTCAAACTGTAGTCTTCTGCTTGCCACTCTTGTGGGCAGAGTAATACACAAGGGGTGAAGAGGCTGTACAAGTTCTGATATTATGTTAATATCTCACGGCTATCAGCCATTCAGATTCGAGAGCCAGGCAGAACTGTTGTTTAAAAACACACACACACACACACACACACACATTATTTACATTACATGTAGCAAACTTTTATTTGGATGTGATTTAGTATATTATTAATTAGTACAATACATGGGTTTTTCCCCATTCACTAATAAAAACTAGTCTTGATGGAGCAGTTGAATAAGATTACCAGACAAACCAAAATAACTTCAGGCTTTTTTCTTTAATTATGCAAGCCTAACCAGGCTTTGTCTGAAAATTCCACCCGTCTGCACAGCCTACCTTTCAAAAGGCAGGCATTATAGTTAAGTCAAAGTGGCTTCACATCACGATTGAGACGCTTGGACACTAGATCTCATGTTTCTCTGGTACACATATGGTACCTCGGCTCCTCGTGGAGTGGAAACTCCAGCCCTGTTTACATTCTCTAACAAAAGGTCTCATTAATGTTTCAGCGCCTCGGCATTGTTCAATTTGTCCACCTTGTGTAAAGTGCTGAGCGAGTGCTAATATTTACCTTGTCAAATGTGAACATATTTTCAGACTGAGCTATATTTACCATCATAGCGGTCACATGTCATGTTTAGACATAATATGGCTGGTCACGCTTGTGTTTTTGGATGCTATAGTGCATGACCATGATGCTTAGCTGGCTTAACCAGCAAGTTTCCCCCTGGTTAGCTAATGTCAAGATTGCACCTTCTAAAAAGTACAACAAAAAAATGCTAAAGTGAACAGCTAGAATTTCAGACTGCTCTTTTCTGCATTTAACTGTATTAAATATGCATTTTAGTATGAGCTGCTGCTACTTATGAATAAATATATCCACTGATCTTTACAATTTTCTGATATAGATTTGCGAATATTACTTATAATTTACCTGTAGTCACTTGTGGATCTTGTGTGTATATTGAGAAACTAGGTAAATACAAGCCTTCCATGTTTCTTAACACACATTGCAATAATATCAAAGCGAATAATTACACTAATTTTAGGTACACCTGTCAAACTGCTCATTAACACACATTTCTAATCAGCCAATCACATGGAAGCAATTTAATGCATTTAGCTATGTAGACATGGTCAAGACGATCTGCTGCAGTTAAATTCAGTTCTGCAGGGTCAGAATTTAACAACAACAACATGGATCCATCCTGCTTTGTATCAACGGTTCAGGCAGTTGGTGGTGGTGTAATGGTGTGGGGGATATAGTCCATCCTTTTATGACCACAGTGTACCCATCTACTGATGGCTACTTCCATCAAGATAACCCTGCATGTCATAAAGTGGGAATCATTTCAGACTGGTTTCTTGAACATGACAATGATTTCACTTTACTCAAACGGCCTCCACAGTCACCACCAGATTCTTAATCCAATAGAGCACCTTTGGGATGTGGTGGAACGGTGGATTTAGATATATCTGCAGCAACTGCGTGATGCTATCATGTCAATATGAACCAAACTCTTTGTATTTCTAGTCCTTTGTTGAATCTATGCCAAGAAGGATTAAGACATTTCTGAAGGCAAAAGGGGGTCCAATCTGGAACTATAGTAAGGTGTACCTAACAAAGTGGCCGGTGAGAGTATAGGAAAAAATCAGTTATTAGTAACATTTTATATATATATATATATATATATATATATATATATATATATATATATATATATATATATATATATATATATATATATGCAACGCAATGGCACCATATTAAACCAGACTGCCCATCACATACCAACGGATTGGTGGAGTGGAGACAGTGATGAAGCCAACCATGATATCGCATGACAGAGGCCAGTGGGCAAATTTGGCCAGGATGGCCTACTTAAGGAGTCAGTGACAGTTGGTTATCAACACTATTCAAAATATTATCTTTTAATATTTTATAAAAAAAAATCTTAAATGTAAATAAAGAGTTTAATTTAGTCATGCTAGTTCATGTTCTTAACATGCTAATACTTAACATTCAGTGACCCTTAAACCAGTCAACCTTTTTTTATATCTAATTGTTTTTGTTCCATTGATTTTGCTGTCTCTGATACCGCTTTCTCACTCTTTTGCTCCTTGCCTTAACCCGTCACAATAGAGTTTCACTAAGGGGCTATCAATTACTGTGTCCCTGAAACCCTACACCTCAGCTTGGCACACTGGGATGCGTAAGGACAATGCCACAGGCCCTTGGCAGGGGGAGTACCTGCTCAGGTTACCAGATGCTTTGGACAGCCCCATGAACCCAGCGCTTGCAAAGCCCCAAACCTCACATTCATCCTCAGAGAGAGCAGCTTAAGAGACAGAACCAGAACAGGCTGAAGCAGGATTTAGTTTATGTGTTTACAAGTCTCCCAGAAGCATTTATGGAGAAAGTTACTGGGGCTAGACTTGCTTATGTTCGTCCGCAAAACTTAAGCAAAGCTGCAGGAAGGTCTCTGGAGGTCAAGGTCTCTTGGATCATTTGCATGGAATTTTGGGAGCTATGATGGTGTCCTGAAATGCTTTGGTGTATTGGGATCTCATCCATAAACTGGAGTATCAAAATCTGATTTGGATACAAAAAGCGTTTGTATTTCCTAAAAAAAGGAGTGGTTTGTAGCTCCCAGCGTGATGCATGGGCTCCCGTGCTCAGCTCTGCAGCACTGTTTTGGTGGTCCTCCAGATGTTTCTGCTGACTCGGCTCCATATCCAGAGCCTGAACTCTGCAAAACTGGGTCAGATCCTGCTACGGGCCCCGTCGTTCTCACTCAGCCTGGTCCTGTAAAGCCAACAAGGACTGACAGCCAGCCGTCAATGGGCTGCATTTCTATACAAACCAAGACTAACGGGACTCACTCCAAAACCAAAGAGCCAAATGCGGACCACCAGCACACGCTTCATTCCTACCCCAGCTCAGAGGGGCTCTCAGAGGAAGACGATGTCCAGGATAATAGCCCTGTTCTGGACACAAAACGACCACATATTCCCCGTCCATCCATCATTAGACCACAAAAGGTAAGAGCACTGTGCAATAATA